AACTAGTAAGGAAAAAAGAAGAAAAGAAAATCATTATATATATTATTATTTCTTTTTCAAAAAAAGCAGATCTTGGTGGTGAACGATTTTGTTATGCAATTAGTAAGGAAAAAATAATTATTATATATTATTATTATATTACTTTATTACTTTATTATATAATATTTACATTATTATTTATTATAGATCTAGGTGAACAAGCTTGTTACGCAACAATTAAGGGAAAAAAATCATTATATATATTATTATTATATTATATTATTACATTATATTACATTATTATTTTAATTACTTTTCTTTTTCAAAAAAAAATCATTATATATATTATTATTATATTACATTATTACATCATTATATTACATTATTACATTATAATATTAATTACTTTTCTCTTTCAAAAAAAAAAAACGGATCTAGTTAAGGAAAAAAAAAGAAAATCATTATATATATTATTATTATATTACATTATTACATTCATTATATATATTATTATTATATTACATTATTACATTCATTATATTACATTATAATATTAATTACTTGACTAGTAAGGAAAAAAAAGAAAATCATTATATTATTATTTATTATTATTATTGTATAATTATATTATATTTTATTATAATATTCTTTTTAAAAAAAAAAACGGATTTAGTGGAAAAAAAATAATATATTATTATATATATACAATATTGTTACGCAACAAAAATTAAATATTAATATATATATTATTACTTATTTTCTTTTTCAAAGAAAAATATGCGGTTAAATGATTCATTAAAAAAAAACCAGGCAAAAAAATAGAAAATACTTTTACTATTACATTTTTAGAAATAGAAAAATATTTGTAATTTTCATATTTAAAAATAAAAAAAATGGTCTTCTGTTTTAAATAAGTAAAATAATTGTTTATATACTATTAATTCAACAATTAAAATGAGTAACATTCAAGTAGGAAATAAGTACAAAATACATAAGCATATCCCTAAAAAGAGCAAAACACACTTAAATTCTACTTTAATTCACACTGATGTTACACTTAAACAATACTTAATTTCTATGCAAATTTAAGTATGTTTTGAGAGCATAATAAGGATATTTTAAGTGTGCGAACTTTGCATAGGGTCTCATTTTTTTGGTGATAAATCAAAGGTCACCAAGATGCTGAAGATCATAATCAATAGAATTGTATGTAAACATGGTGGTGCAGGTGCAAAGTTAAGCCCATTAAAATTATACAGGTTACAAATATATAGTAAGTGTTAAAGAATTTGAAAAATGATTGTATAAGAGTTTTATTAAAATTCTTTTATATCAGATAATGAAACAATTGTCTATGAGTTGTTGATCCCTTTTCAAGGGTTGTATATTTTTCATGAGGTCACGCAGTCAAAATTGCCAACTAATAAGGTTGAAGTAGCATTAATATCACATACCATACCAACATTTCTCAAGTTTAGGGTTTGTTTTTTCCCCTGTTCTATACCAACTTATCTTTTTTTTATATATATCTAACAAAATTTCATCACCAGGAGTTACTTATGCAGAGTCTAAAAGATTATATTGTGGATACATATATTACATCAATAGATTCCAGTGAAAGCGTAACCAGTTTATCACATGTAGCACAGCAGAAATTCTTTATAAATGATCAGTGTTCGCTTCACATTTTTAAGGAATAAAATTTATCACTTAATAAAAGGGAACTACATCTCTTATCATTTCTTTGTTAAAGGTTATTAGTATTAGTAATCGCCCAAAGATCCAGGAATTACACAAATTTCCCCGCTAGGTAATTACTGTGTAATTCCTCGATTCACAGTGTCACCAATCAGAATTTTCGTGTAATAAAGCATATTTTCAATTTCTTCAATTCCAAAAAATGGATCACCAATTTGATTTATATTTTAAAATAAAAAAAAACTTTTTTTTGTAAATATAAACACAGGAAGATGGGGATGAACACCAAGATCCAACTTACATTGAGACAGATTCCGATGAAGTACTACCTAAAAAATACTTATATTATATTCGTGTTGGTTCATAATTTATTTATTATCATTTGTAACTTTTTTATTTAAATTAAAAATTTTTTTCAAACAATCAAGGTGAACCTTTAAAAGAAATCGGTAATCACCCATCTATAAGGAAAACCTTAGGTTCAAAAATTAGTGAAAAAATAAATAATGATGTTTTAAAGAAACCTTTCAAACTTCCAACCAAAAAAAAGTCGGGTAGTGATGAGTTATTTATTGAAGAAAATTTAAATGATGATGATTCTATGCCAAATATCATCATAAAAGGTGATAATAAATGTCAATATAAATTATAACAATGCTTTGTAATAATGTGTTTATATATTTATCGATGCTGTATTGTATATTTTATAAATAAATGGCGATTCTATTTGACATTATGTGTGTAAATTCATGCGCAACGTACTAATGTTAATACACAATATATTAAATAAATATTCTAAATACTCATTCTCAATATTCCTCTTCCAATATATTAAATAAATTATTTTATGATTATGTATAAATTCATTATAACGCGTACATACAAATCGGAATTTTTTATTTTTTGAATTTATTACACGAAAATCTTGATTGGTGACACATAGTGAAACGGGGAATTATTTTAAAAAAATCCTCTATTGCATCTTTCTTATGTCTTATTGAATAAAACCATAGATTTTTTTTTTATCTTGCATGGTCATTGAGCTTATACATTTTAAAGTTTAGTCAAGATTTTTGATATCTTTAGATGATCGGCACCATATTATCTGTGTTGTGTATATATATATATCAGAGAAAATTTTGTATAATAGTATTTATTTATTGTATTTTTGGTTTTTATTATTTTTTTTTTTTGAGTAAATATATTAAATTTTTTTTTTATAGGATAACATTTTAAATTAAAGAATAAAAATTTTTCTATAACAAAAAAATAAAATTAATTAATTAAATATTATTATTATTATTATTTTTATACTTTTAGATTATTATTATTTATCTGGCTAATTTATTTGTCCATTTCATGTATGACTGTGAAGAAAGTACTGCATTAGTAACTTGTACTCGTTTACTTCTTCTCACTTCAATTGTCATACGAGGTGTGGTCAAATCCTATAAATAATTTATTTATTTAAAACAAATAACAAACTAATATATATATTGTAATCACTAAGGTATAATTGATCAATCTTACCTGTTGCCTTTTCATTAAACAAGCTGAAAGTTCTTGATAGCGATTTAAAAGTTTACTCTTCAATACAGATTCTCTGTTCCCTTTCGTGTTAAGCCACTTCATCAATTGATCAATCTAAATAAATAAATTAATGAATAAGTAAATAGATTAATAGAAATCCCAATTACATGAATATATATCAAAAAAATATTTGAAGAATTACTAACATCTGATACGTCTTCATAGTAACCCCATTGTCCAAAATTCATACCTGAATCTTCAGCTTTTTTTCTTTTGTAATAGTGTTGCACATCTCTATCAGTTAGCATTCTCAAATCTTGTTCCTGAGGAACTTGTACCCAAATTTTACCTGTACCATATTTTTCTCCAACTGCTATACCTAAACCATCAAAATAAAAATACTTGTTATAAAATCTATCGTATCCTAAAGGTATAGAACGAGGCATTGCATATTTTTTCTTGTCCTTTTCAATTTGTTCTTCCTAATTTATCAATTGTTTTTTTATTAAGAAAAGAATCTATAAAAATGATAACTTTTAGAAACATTATCCTTCTTTGATATACCTTTCTTTGTAATGATATTTCTTCATCTTTAAGTTGTTTTAGGATCAAAGCCTTGTCATATTTTTTTTCGGTTGGTTTTTTTATGTCAGAACTCCCACTTTTCTCAGCACTCAAAACTGGCATAATACCTTGTGCAATTTGACCAATGGAAGATGTGCTAATTTTAACAACAATAATAAAAAATGAAAAAGATGTAAGAATTTCGTTAAATGACAAGAATGACTAATGATGATAAAAGCATTTGATTTTGATAGATGTTTCCTTACATCTGTCTTTTTTCCCTTAAAATTTCATTTTTCTCTTTATTTAAATCAGCTCTCTTTTCAACAGAACTTTCAATGTGCTCGTGAACAATTGATGCTTTTGTGGCTGTGTTAACCAAAAGATCCAAAATTTGTAACTTGGAGGTAATATCAAGGCTCATATAATTTTCTTCAATATCCTCATTTACATTTCCAACTAATTCTAATAATATTTTATCCAAGAATGGAAAGATTTCGTGAGCTTGTACCTACCAAAAATAATAAGCAAAGAAAATAACTAATTATTACAATCTTTCAAAGAAAATTAAATTATTTAATTATTTAAAATTATTTAAAATTACATCATAAAGAAACCCGACAAGAATATCTTCCCATTGTTTCCTTCTTTCTGTCAAAGGAATTAATCTTTTGTCCCAATTTCTACCTAAATTATCAAGAAATTTAATTGAAGCATCGGATAATTCATTTATATCATCTTCCTCTTTCATTTCTATTGACTCATCTTTTAAGGTGGGACCACGAGAACCAAGTTGGCCTTTTTTTCCTTTAGATTGCAAACGATCTTTAATAATAGCATTTAATAATGCCACATGTAATTCTATTATAAGAAAGCATACTGGTTGTACTTTGTCATGTAAGAGTGCCAATTCAAAATCATCTAGATTAAAAAATGAAACACCAACGGATTTTCTATGCAAAGAAGGCAAAAGAATGAAAAGAATTATATTTAGTATTTGCGTTATTTTGAATTAAAAGGTTATTATTTGTTATAATTATAATTAAATTTACCCAAATATATTGAAAAAATTCCATACACTTAAAAATGTTCCGACAGATTCTTGAGGCACTCTTAAATCCATTTGCAATTCTGGTTTTTTTTGAAGAAGGCTCTTATCAAGGGGAACTTCAAGATCTTCAATTGGATATTTAACTATAAAATAAATATTGAGTTAATCAATCATTTAGATCATAATATTTAAAATAATGTAAAATCATAAATTATATATATATATATATATATATATAGCATACTTTTCTTACGCTCAACTTTTATACATGATTTTTGTTTATTATTAAAAAAATAAAATTATTATTATTAATTATTTTCTTTGAAAAAAAATGTTGCCTTTTGAACTTTCTACTATATTTATATTTTAACTGTTCACCTTTTTTGTTTGTTGATTTCTTTTGATCCAACTGCCGGGAATTGCTTGGTTTCGAATTTGGCTTTGCTTTTTTTGAAGGATTACAACTAGATGTCGACTTGCTCTATATATGCATATAAATATTATTATTATATGTTGTATTGGTGTTTATTTAAAAAAACAAAAATATTATTTTTTATAAACCCAACCTTTCTTTTTCGACTTTTTTCTAAGGCGGCATCTTTTACTTGTTGTAAATCATCTGGTAATTTAGTTGCCATTTTATATTTTTTTGCAATCTTGGGCTTTTTTAGAAAAGAAAATACAAGTGTGTGTTATTATCGCTGATATTAAAATTAACTATTGGTTTTATTTAAATATAAATATAAGTACTTTAACCACCCACGGCGCATGAAGATAAGTTTCTCTTGTTGCAGATTCCTTAATGAATTGACGTATAATTGTTTTTGTAAATGCCAACTTATCACGACTTTAATTAATCATAAAATAATAATTAATATATTATTAATATCATATATAGTTACTATTACTATAGATCCTTTCTCATTAAATAATGAATATTTTTCCGAACCTTAATGCTTCACTACCATTAATAGTCTTGATGAGAAATTTTTTATTTCCATTTTTATTTTGTTGTTTTACCGGCTTTCCATCTTTGTCCAATAATTGAAGATGATAAATAGAATTTAATGAAGATGACTCTTTATAAGATTTGTGATCACTTGAATCCGATTCATTGTTAGAGTCAGCAGTAATTACATCAGCGATTTTTGCTTTATTCCTAATCAACGCCAACAACCACAATAACAAGAGAAGCTATCAATAAAATACTGCATAAATGTAATTTTTTCACTCAATAAAAAAAAATAACTACTTTTTCCCATCAATAACTACAGTGACAATTTCTCCTATGGTATAATGTTCTTTAAAACTCTCAAATATTATTGTGACCAGATCATCCAATCGTTCGGCGCCTTTTAATTTATTAAAGGTATTAATATAATATATAATAGAAATAAATGATGATAATAATAATGAAATAGTTACTGAATTGTACTATTTCTAAAATTGGTTTTTTTAATCCATTTGGAAACTTTTCATCTAGCTGTTCACGATGTTTCTTTTCACTTTCAAGTGCATCAGCATATGTAAGGTTTAATTTTCCTGTAACTGCACACTGCCATAATGGTTGATTGTATAAAGCGATATTTTTCAAATATTCACTAAAAAAAAAATAACAAATGTTGAATTTTCATTTGATCAATTGTAATTTGATGCAAAAATGGTATACTTTTTAAAGTATTTTCAGCATTAAATAAAACTGCATAAAAAAAACCCCCCCATATATCATAAGAAACATTACATAATATGGTTTCTGAAAGATTACCTATAATCTAAAAATATTTGTCCAGTATAGGGAATCAACCAGACTTGCTGTTCTTTTTGTTCTTCGGAATCAATTAACTCAAGTTCTTGCGACGTGTTTATAAATTTTTTCTTGTAAACAGGCATATTTTCTTATATTTATAAACAAAAAATTTGAATAAACAAAAAACAAAACATCGTTCATTTATATTTGGGTATTTTTTATTTTTAATAAACATTTATTGTAACACATTTGAAAATTTTCAAATTTCAGATATACAGCAAACATGATGGTTATTATCTGTTATTTTGGGCTTTATAATTCTGATGAGTAAATCAGTTAACTGATTCTTTGATCTGTCTCCTCCATTTCAACACTCATGCTCTAAACTTCGTACAGCTTTCTGGCATTTTTGATCTAAACAAGAATTGCCTTGAACATCAATTGTACTACTATCGTTAATAAATTTTAAATGAAGTGCACGCGATACTCGTACGCTGCTGTATGTGTGTGATGATAAATCTATGAAGGGCGAAACTCCTTTTGATTGGCTAATTTAATTTTCACATACGTGGAATTTGCAAATAGATTTATTGAATGATTTTAACAAAAGAATACAACTCAATCAAATCAGTGCAACATACTTTGTAACAATTTAGAAAGGATTGAAAGAATTGGCAACGATACTATCTCTCTCTGGAAATTTTCGAAAGAAAAGGAAAATTTTCGTTTCACAAAATTGAT